TAATGCATTGTTTGTAGTGGTAGTGTGAGTAATCCTGCATAATACAAAATTTTATAAGGTGGTGATAATGGCGTTCACAACCAATGATTGTCAGTTAATATTGCCGAAAAGTATAGAAAATAAGAAAAAACAACCATAAAACTAATAATCACATGATGGTTAATGACAGGACAATTTTGTAATACTCATAGAGCTAATATAGTCGGAACCAGTGGATACACAATAGAAGGAATATAGTAAAGTACAAAAAGTAAGCCAATGTTAATAATTTAGGTAGCTAAGTATATTTAAGAAGGAGTTCACAAGTAAATACAAAATAAGAGAGAAATAAAAGAGCCTAAAATTATGTTATTAACAACAAAGCAAGTCATAGGTTTCACTCTTAACATTGTCTCTGTGACTTAGAACACGGGCCAAATATGGTATCGTTGAGTTCCTGTACTTGGTTGTACGAGCATAGATTATTTTATACTGATTTCTGGTTATACTTGATGAGATACAAGGCGAGAGTTGGGAATACAGTGGGTGTTATGGGGTCTGAGAGTATGGTTTTAGACCATTTCTCGCATGTATTCAGATGTCTTTCAACTAATGCAGTGACGAGCTGAGTGAGTTTTACACCACTAGTCCTACTGACTACTTTCAAAATCCTTCTCAGGATGGTATAGTCCTTTTCCAGTAGGCTAGGAAAGACTAACGGGGAGCATTAAAGTAGAATAGGTAAGATACAAGAGTTGACAAATTCTGAAAGTAGAGGTTGGGTGATTCCAAATTGTCTAAGTTTCTTAATGTAGTAGGTTAGACAGAACACTTTCTTAGAAGTCGTTAGGATATGAGATGTCCAAGTAAGGTCGGAAGACAGAACCTGTTTAAGAAGACTTGAAACGACTAATACCTTTGCACTAGTGGCGTGTGGTGATCCGAAGTCTAAATATTTGTTGGAGTGTCTTTTCTTCCTGAATATAGGTATATACTTACTAAAATATTCGTTTTCTTTCCTGTTAACTAGGTAGTCTAGAAAAGATAGCTCACCATGGTCAGATTCTGTTTCCGAAGTAAACTGGATGCTATGATATATATTTAATACTTTGATAAGTATATAAGCAGCATTAAATGGCGAAGCCTCATTTATTAGGAAGTACAAAAACTTTTATAATAATGAATATCACATACATACTGTTAAAAATGCAAACAAATAAATTTGAATTAGGTCGGAGTTTAACAGTAGTCAGAACGAGGTTGTTCACCAAAAGAGTAAGTCTAACTGATTTCATCTATCCACCGTAAAAAAACTTGAACGTCATTCAATACATGCCATAACATTAAATTAAACAATGAAAAAATACATAGACTGAATGAAAAATAAAAGGAATGTTGCACAAACAGTTTTTAAAAAAAATAATGTTAATGATAGTTTGAAAGAAGAAGCAAGATGAGTTGAATGAACAAAAGCAATACTGAGTAAAATGGTAAGACAAGTTAGTATGCTACCAAACAATAGTACGCATGAAAGCAACTGAACAGCCTTTTAGATCATTAATTTGAATGGGTGTTTGGCAGCTCAAGTATGTCGAGTTAGTTATCAAGTTGGACAACAAACATCCTTAGGAGCTGACTGAGTGAGTTCCAACATACACGTTTTTGCACAGAAATGCAGCACTGCAAGTTACTACACTCCCCATATACCTCACAAAGGTAGGCAAAGTAGGAAATTTAAACGAACTTCAATAAGCGAAAATCTACGGAAGAAAGAACAGTAGTGAGAAAAAACAAACACGAGGACTTAACGGACTTAGGAGATTACAAAAAGGAATATTACAAAGCGCACCATTGGGTACAACTATGAACTGTTTCACAAACAGTTTCAAAGCATTTGATGATTCATAGCATCCCGGAGACTTCAGCCAGCCAGACAGTTTTCAACTCTATTATTGCAAACGGTCTGGAAGGAGGAAAAGGTGCCTACTGACTGGAGGAAAGGTTACCTCCTGAAACTACCAAAGCGGGGAGACTTAGGACTCTGCAAGAACTGGTGAGGAAGCATGCTCCTGTCGACGCCAAGTAAAATCCTGAGTCACATCATCCTGGAGAGAATAAAGGACGCACTGGATACAGAACTCCGACCAGAACAAGCTGGATTCAGGAAAGGCAAATCATGTTCTGACCAAATTGCAACTCTACACATCATCATCAAACAGCAAAGCATGGAATGGCAATCAATTCTCTACCTCAACTTCATTGACTTTGAGAAGGCCTTCGACTGCGTCGACCGCGAAGTAATTTGGAAACTACTCGAGTACTACGGCGTACCCCAAATATTCATCAACCTTATTCAACAGCTGTACGACAACGGCACATGTCAAGTCATCCACAACGGAAAACTCAGCGAGGCGTTTGGAGTGAACACAGGAGTCATACAAGGGTGCTTATTATCACCAATGATATTCCTAATTGTGGTGGACTGGATTATGCGTCAGACAGCGGAAAACGAGAAGACAGGGATATCCTGGACCGACTGACGTGAAGAACCTAGAAGACCTGGATTTCGCGCGTGGGTGATTTATGTTTGATGTCACACAAAATCGAAAACCTACAAGCGAAAACCGACAAACTGGTCGAAGAAGCAGCCAGAGAAGACAGGACTCCAGGGGAACATAGACAAGACAAAGATCATGAAAATAACCAACCAAAAACAACAACAGCAGCAACATCCAGCGCCAATCACCATCAACGGGAGGGATTTGAAAGAGGTTACATCATTCACTTATCTAGGTAGGGAGCATTGTCTCAACTACACGAGTAACGGACGGACGAGGATGTCAAATCGAGAATCGGAAAGGCGAGAAACACATTCATCAACCTGAAACCAATCTGGAAATCTTCCGCTGTCACTCAGAATCAAAAACAAAATGATTCGGATTTTCAATACAAACGACGTCAAGTCAGTCAGTTCTTCTGTATGGATCAGAAACTTGGCGGGTCACCAAGAATATTTCCAACAGCCTGTTGTAGACTTTTGTCAACAACTGTTTTCCTTCTATACTCAACATGAGATGGCCGGAAAGAACAAGAACCAACAAGAAACTATGGGAAGAAACAAAACAAGAACCAATCGCTCAACAAATATGCAGGAGAAAGAAGTGGAGATGGATTGGACACTCGCTGAGGAGGCCGCTTGGTGACATCGTGCGTCAGGCCAGTGCTCGAGTGGAACCCGGAAGGTAAGTGGCGAGTAGGACGTCAGTGAAAGGGTGACATGGAGGAGATCGTGCGAAGAGGAGTTGAAACAGCATGGACTAACATGGATGCAATTGAAAAGTACAGCAGAAGACAGAAGCAAGTGGAGTTGTGCAGTTGAAGCCCTATGTTCCACTAGGAACCCAGGGGACCAATTTAACAATATGTGGCTAGCTCAATCTAACTACAAAAGACTTCATGGATTGATTTAACCGAGTCCTAGATCCTTTTTTAAACCTAATTCTATGTCAGCTAACTTTGCTCAATGAGGACGGCTGATATCTCAGCATGCTTACCACGGATCCTAGCTATCTCAATCCATGCAGCTTCACACAACCCCATCGTTTAAGATGCTTTGGGACTGCATGCTTCCTCCAATGTGTTGGTAGAAGTAAGTATGAGAGAAAGAAGAAGAAAAAATTACCCTACCGACTATTTTATTCCTAAAATCTCAGCGAGATTGAAATGAGTAATTCCATTATGGGTAAATTTTATTTTGATAGAGTCTCACAGTGTTATACAGTAATATTTACTGATGACGTTTCGAGCACAATTTATTACTCATAATCATATCAATCATACCAACTTGATATGATTATGAGCAATAAATTGTGCTCGAAACGTCATCAGTAAATATTACTGTATAACACTGTGAGACTCTATCAAAATAAAATTTACCCATAATGGAATTACACTCTACCACAGTGCCCAAGTTTTATTCTTATATCATTGAAATGAGTGACTCCAACGTTTCGTTTGGCAATCTGGTCCGAACTTCCTCAGGGAAATTAATCGAATTAACATAACAGAGGTTTATATATATAAAAGGAACATCACTTGTTTTTAAAAACTTTGTCCAATCATGAGTCATTCAACAAGTATCATCAAGTATAATAAACAAAATTTTATGAGCTTTGATCAAAATTTGATCCTAAATCCGTAGCTGTCGAGGCACCTGACAACTCCAGTAGCTCGAATAAAGCAGCTCAATCTTCAGAAAGAAGGCAAAGCAATAAGTCCAACAGAGTGCTTCTACTAAACTCTAATCCTAAACACCATAATTTTGAAAATACGTCTAATCATAAAATTCTAGATACTAACAGTTTGAACAGACATGAAGGTGTGATGTTAGCTGATGCATAGGAAATCCTTATTAACAAATAAATAAAAAATGGATATGTATCACTAATTATTAATACTTGGTCAAAATTCTCGACTGTCCATATCTTATTATGGAGTCGTTAAGAGATGTTTTACAACTGTTTACCCACACACACATACACACTCTGTTTAAAGTGTTTAACAAAGGTAAACCAATATTTGTAAGTCCGGGGTCAAATTTTGATCATATCTCATAAAATTTTGTTTATTACACTTATTGTTACTTGTTGAATGACTCATGACTGAACAAAGTTTTTTTAAAAACAAGTAAGGTTCCTTTTACATGTATAAACCTCTGTTATGTTAATTCGATTAATTTCCCTGAGGAAGTTCGGACCAGATTGCCGAACACAAGAAACGTTGGAATTACTCATTTCAATCTCGCTGAGATTTTACAAGTATAATTTTTTACAAATATCTACTTCTCACTCGGCGCCCAAATATTTTAGAATTATTCTGTCAAATCTTGACGACAGTTCATTTGGACTATTTTATGGTTTGGAGAATTCAATCGGTTATACATAAAAGAAAATTCAAACCAGGCGCGCAAAACAAAACACAGAACACACCTGAACTTCTTAGCCAAACAAATATATAAAAACTGGCATGAAATAATTCTTTGTATTTTATAATTCTTCATTAAAGGCATTTCTCTCTCTCTCACGGAAAACAAATGACCAATAAACAAACAAACACAGGCATACGACAATACTTGCAGTAGAATGAACACAGAGATCACAACATCACATCATACAGTTCAGGCAATAATATGAATAATATCAAGCGATCAGTCAGTTAGTCAGTCAGTCCCAATGGTTACATAATTAATTCTAATTCACGTACACAAATTATATGTATTCAAGGAAAAATGATAAGAGATTGATTAACTAACTGTCAGAGTATTGAATCTATAGCCTAAAATGACGAAAGCATAACATGAACTCACAAAACGTACAGTTGACTAATCAGAAATCAACAAGCGTAGATGCGTAATTTATCAATAAATCTGGATATACTTGATAAAATTTGAAATAAGTAGACAAAAAAATATATGGAAGTTAATTTAAACAAAATAATATTTATATATGTATATAATATGTGATAATCTATGAGAAGAATGTAATCTGGTATGGGTGAGTTACTTCCTTCTCCTCCTCATCATTGATTAGTCTCAAAATCAAAGGATGCTATACATTGCCAACCACATATATATGCCGACCGAACACAGAGCAATACAAAGCACTATTAGTATTGCTTTCACATAATTTGGAACACCTTGATACTGTTGTGATGATTCTCTAAACTTGTATCTATGAGTGGGGAGAGAGAGAGAGAGAAAAACACAAATAACACAGTGTGACACATCAGTGATGGTGAATGGGTGAGTCAGTGAGTCAGTTATGAGATTAACACGATATCCCAGATCAAAAGTACAGTACAACAGAAGAAGAAGAAGAAAGAGAAGAACATAGAGAAAATAACGACGAAGAAGACAGAAAAGATGTTCACTGGAAACCAAGTTCATCAATTATTGAACACTGAAACTATACACTTTAATAATAAAAATCATAATGTAATTGTCTTCTTTGGGAAATACTAAAAGTAAACAGGGACAGGTATTGAATCATTCCTATTAAAAGTATTTGCAGTTGATTCGATAAACAAAGCTCCTTCGTCCATTGATAATTTTAAACGATTTCTGCATTTCTCCTTCGCCGAAGCAACTTCTATCAAACGGCTGAAACCGGATTTATGTGTTCAGAAAGAGGCAGCTATTAGTCCTTTCTTACCCTGATTATGTAATCTTTGTCTTTACCTCACCCCCTTTTATAATCTATAATTGTGCTTGTCTCTTGTTTCCATGATTTGAGCTGAACTCAGTATATGGTTACCTAATTTATTAGTCACTCTACATCTTACGCATCTCTCGTCTTCATTACGCAATTTCTTTACCATTGCATGCATACATTTATTTCGTTTAAACTTGAACTGACTGTGTAAAAACTATATAAGCGCAATTTTCTGAGCACTGTTCACTAACTGTGGAACTTTCTGTCAACTGTCAACATGTAAAATCTGCAAGTATGTTAAAACTTTTCTGTACATAAACCTCATAATTTATTTAGGCTGTAAGCAGCTGATGAGAAACCAACGAAATAAATGATGGTGCCATATTATTCTACACAAACCACTGTCGTTCTTGCTTTATTCAAATTCATCAAAGGGAATAAATACATTGTTATCTGTCATACTGTTTGTAGTTATATTTATGAAATGTGAAGCTACTGAGACTTTCATTCTTACTGGACGATCAGATAGGAAATTTGAATGTTTGTTTGAATGTGTCGGTTTCAGTCAGTTAATCTTTCTACAAGAAAATCAAGAAGGTCTACAGTTCCCTCAACCGATTCAACCTCATTTGTAGACTTTAGACATTTTGAAATGGAGTTAATTTGTTCGAGAAAGTTCCCCTTTTCACCTTTCTTAATAAGTGAGAAATGTGTCGTCTACATTACTGTTATTATTATTTATATTATTCCTTTGTGTTCCCAGTGGAACATAGGGTGTCAATGGACGTGAACATTGAACGTTTGTTTTATTGGAACTGGCAACCATTGGCGGGCAACTGAAAGGCGCGAATGGTCGATCGCTTGCAAGTTGAAAGAAGACTGGAGTTAAATACGAATAAAAGTACTTTATAACTTCATTTGTACTTAACATTTGTTTGTAGACTTTGTAGTTTTCTTCACTTTAATTGCCAAACAATATAATTTCGTTCAAGGAATACTGGTGTTTTGGATTTAAAGTTGGAAAACGTACATAGTATTTATCGGTTCAATCGCTTAAGTCTTCAGTACAATAGGAACTTAGGGCTAAGTTCCTTGACATAGGGCTTCAAGCTAGAGCTTTGAAGTTTCAGCAGCAGTGTTTCTTTTACGGGATGCGATTGCTAATTTCATGCCCAACCTTCCCTCTTTGCCTGGCTTACTACTAACCGGCTAAGGAAGGAAAAGGAGTACGCCGACCGGTGATTGAACCCCGGACCACTTGCGTGGCTGGCCAGTATTCAACCACTGAATCAACGACGAACTGTTGCCTACATATGTGAACAATAAACATTCTGGGATGACAAATTAAACCTTCCATATGGAAATTTACTCCAATTGGAGATGCTGTTGATCCTATTGCAACTTCATTTGTCCGACAGTACAGTTTGTCTTTAAAATTAAAATAAATAAGTAGATTCTAAACAAAGTTTAAGCATCTTACAATATCTTCTATTGATTATGAACATTTACCTAATATTTCTTTGGATTGTTTCCTAATGCATATTTCATAATATCAAATGCATCAGATATAGAGGAATACCAGTAAAGAGAGAAATCGTATCAAAACTGCTAAACAAAGACAAATTCAGAAGTTTGAAAAACTTAGAAATCTGAATGCAGCATACTCTAGATCAGAGAAGTCAAGAATACAGACCACGATAAGAACACTATGCAATTTGTTCAACAGAGAAACCAATGTACACGAAGCAGCATCACTTTAGGAGGCAGTACACTTCAACATAACTACAAAACTCCTGGAAGCATAAGCAATAACATCACTGAACCTGTAGTAACCCTTTGACCTGATGATGAAGCTAATTAATTAAGTCAGAAGGTTGGCTGTATCATGTTGAATGAAGAGTAGTCAACCTTAAATTCGTCGGAAGACAAACGTCATGCATCACAAACTTTAAGGTCGTACAAATCTATTGTCATAACTAAAGCTGACAAAGGCACTGTGACTGTGAAAGCTTCGAAACATATCGAATCAGGTACATACGCACTAATGCCAATTAAGAAAGGGTCTCGTACTATTGCACTGGTAAAAGATAAGAGGATTGAGAACAAAAATGCATATTAGTACAGTTTTAACCACATTAAAAGTCGGCTGAGTCAGTGGACGATAAACGGTCCTGATTGGTTGGCGACTGGTCCAAGGTTAGACAGTCACAAGAAAAGTTGTCCAATTAAATTAGTACATGATCACAATGCAAACTAAATCTGAATTTGAGGAATAAACACTGCTACTTCTCCAGCTACTGACCTAAAATGCTGATTTAAATTTTTGGCCACTTCCTATAAATTCACACACGCCACTATGAACAAAATAAAAGCAGAGGTGTGTAGTCCACTGAGACAATTGAAACCAATACTGCCCACCGGATTTGATTTTCTCTTCACATGATTCTCCTCCACGTTACATTAGTGTTGACAATTCGAATGTTGTTCCATTCGCTAACCATTACAAATCTGCACACTGATTTCTCAAATAGTGAATGCCTATCTTGCTTTCCCGATCTTGGCTGGATTCGACATCCACATCTGTGCTATGCTAGGGAGGTATTCGAAAGGAGAGACCTACATTAGGTTTCTCTCACTGGCGCTAATTGGTGTTTACTAACAGTCGGATATCAACGTGTCTAAAAAGACCAAAATACTACAGATTCCGATGATATGAACACATCTCAGAAAGCTAAAATTAACACAAACTACAGCACATTCACTCCAGTTACTAAACATCAGTAACATTAGGAACTGTATACTGGATTTTTATTTCCTGAAGATACCTACAACCTCACAACAACTATATGCATTTCCATGGATATCCGACAATGAGCCGCATTTATTGTCTTAGGACTAACAATACTACCTGACTTGTCATACCTCTGTAGGTCAAGCAGGACCTAGCAGTTCGAAGTCGAACACCAACTGAACCAATGAGCTAAAGCTTCGGACACCTAGCCAAACATATTTGACCTATTATATAGTGAATGTCAGTCATAACAATTACTAATAGCATAGGTGGTGAAACGGTCAAATGTTTACCATCCACACCAGAAGGCAAGGTCTGACTACCGGATGATGTGCTCCGGAAGCGTCGTCTAGTTTGCTGGACGGCAGTAAACTCAAAACAGAGGTCAGGCAAGAGGCTAGCAACCCCTCGCTGTAAGGACGAAAGTGCCACCAAAACTTCGAGGTTTGGAGTCCTGTCCACTACTCGGAACCAAAGGAATGAAATGGGAAAAGTTATGGAGTGACAAGAAAAATGACTTTGAAAAAAACAGTAAAATTTAAAACTAAAACTACATTCAGCTGAGTATTTATTCCATCGGAAAATCACAGTAATAAAACATATGTAAATTGAATTTTGTTTTTTTTCTGAGAAAAAGGCACTGTGTAAGAATTTACCTTGGTCTTAATTGTAAATCTTTGTCCGTTAGTGGTACAAATATAACATCCTTAAGTTCTGTACGCTGGAATGAACCATTTGCTAAACGATCAATTTGAACTAGAACTTGAACTTCACCTGGTGGTCCTTCAGGGCAAATTAGACGACCACCAACTTTTAACTGTTGTTTTAGCTAGACAAAACAAATAAACAAACAAAGTTGATTACAACAAAATCGAAACTGTGAAAAAATGTGTTATGTATGAATATTAGGACCTTGTAGACTACGAGCGAATCTAACTAATGCGCTGGCTAATCTGTCCTAATCGCACGTCAAGAACAACAACAACAATACCGCCGGGCACGCAAGGCAAAGAAAGAAGACTGGACGTTGATACGAGAGCTTTTACTGTCTCTAACAGCAGTCGAAAATGTTAAACAAAAACTCCGTATTTATACAGTTAGGAAAATCAATGTCACATTTTAATAATATTAACAAACCATGGGAATTCAGTAATTAAAATCGATAATCACGCAGATGCGGGAAATCAATGATTATGCTAGTGTGGGAAATAAATAATGAATATTAATGATTCACCTGTGTATATATTAAAATGTGCTATGACTATTTTAACAATTGAACAAATACTGAGAGGCAAAGTTAGACAGTAGCATCCCAAGGGATTCGAACGCACGACTGACCTTGAGCCGACCATCAACCGTAAAAAATAATTGGTTTTTACACAAAAAATAATGTTTATTTACAAGGAAATGCATAGTAAAACATTAAACAGGGTATCTTTCTCTGACATGACTTAACCGATAATCCTCATTATAACTGAAACGTACTTTTAAGATAGACCAGATTCTGTACACATATATATTCACCGAAGTGACTAAAGGGGGCTCCTTTTGTGACCCGTTTATCACACTTTTATCCTATTTCTGAGTCCTTAACAAAAGCCGTCGGTTGAATCACTATGGTTTCCAGTAGAAGGATCAATAACTACATACCAGGAAAATGTGGATAATGACAAATTAAAATAAATAATTCGAAATTTAAATCTATTCCTAATTGTAACCGCTATTGGCACACTGTCTAAACAGTACTCAAAAACGTGATCCGGGTGAAATTCATTCTTTAATCGGTGAATAGCGTTCATATTTGGAGGATAATAGTGACAGGTGTCTTTAACTAACAACTAACCTGCATCCAAGGTCACTGGGGCATTCGCACGCCAGGGACGCTTTTGTTTAACTTCGCCATATCGAGATCAGTAAAGAAAAAAGTTAGACGTGCTAGTATACAACAGCCAGCCATTTGCAATGTAGGTGGGAATGAACCGCAGGTATTGTTCTGTTTGAGCAATACTAGTGATATTCTGTCTGTCTATCCAAAGCTCGACAGGTGGAGTGGAATTCAAACCCATAGCTCACTGGGGTTGGAAGTCGGATATTTAAACCAAATAATCTACAGTTCCCATAAGGTTAGCATACAGATTATCTGTCTGATAAACAGGACTAACTGGCTGAGTTTCAACACTGAACTTTGCACAGAAGTGCAGCAGTTTCAGTTTCCATACTACTCCATATAATAAAGGACACTTTACTGAAAACCAAGTGACAAGTATGCTTTACCACATGTCGTACAACACACATGAAATTATAAATGCATTATAGGAAAATGAAGATAATCTATGGATAAAAGAACAAGATAATTTAGATGGATATAAAATAAACGCGCGCGCGCGAGATGTGATACAATATTATTCAAGAATACAATATTCAGTGAAGAGACTCCTTTCAACGAATTTATTATCAAGCTGTACAACCCTATATATATATAGATACATATATGTATATATATGTGTATATATATATGTATATATATATGAATATTTATATTGAGACTCAAATCTAACGTGATAGAATACACAAGTATTCTATCTAAATACATAAAAAAAGCAAACTTCTGTTCGACTTTTTATGGAATCATTGCAAATGTGAAAGATAAAGTCTAAAGTAGCTTAATATGTAAGTAACCATGTGATCTGATGGATTTGTGATGGTATCACTCTTCGACAGTCAGCGTTCTCTGGATGCATCTGTGATGCTGTGTGCTCCATTGAACTTAGCGTTTGATCTTTATCAACTCACCAGTGGGACACGAGCTTAAGGTTAAGCTCATCTATCGAGATTTCAGTAGTCAGTTAGTAGCATTCTTCCGAATACGCTAAGTACGTTCTATGCCAAACTGATGAATATAATTAGGAAGTTCGTTTGTTCGTTTCAGCTAAGTTACCGGAGAAAATCTTTCAAGCAAGTCCAGTCTATGAGTCACACACATCTCATGTGAAGACTGACCGCCGGCACCCAGCAGTTCAACCTGGAGTAGGTGGAACGGGACTAAGACCCTACAGTCACTGGCTGAAAATCGAGTGCTTAGGACAGACAATAAGACACGTCTCCACCATAAGGTCAGTAAAAAAATTGAAAAATTATGAATTTCACGTAGCTAGAGAAAAATACACACGAACTCACGGCATCAGGAATAGTTGGAGATGAAGCACCAACATGAATAGCATTATAAGGGGCATCCTCTTGCCAACCTTGACGACCATCACCAGTTACAAGTTTTAATTGTTCTCCCAATTTTATGTCATGTGATTTAGCTGCTTCACTATCCTTCATCCACTTTTCAACATTTCCTAATGCAAATTTAGTTAACTCATCAATATGTTCAACGCCTACTGCAACACCTTTGGAGCCCACCTTTAAATATATAGACAAAAGGGAAGTATGAAGTTACATGATGCCTTGCTAAGTAAGTATCATGAAGGTGTGGGTTCATTTATAACGCTAACAGAAAGAAAATGAGTAAAAGCAACGAACTGTGAACACAAACACTTTTAAAGGAGAGTAAGAAATTATGCAAAAGTCTCCTCGCTAAAAATTATTCTTAATGTTATTAATATTCCCCTACGTTTCGAGTGGAATATACGGATTCAACAAAACATCTCCTTTCCACGATATTCTCTACAATTGTCCTTAGCTGGTACCACGGTTGTCTATAAGCTCTCATCTCCTCACACAATCTTCCCCACGTCAACCTCGGATCCACGCCCAACTCGTCGTTTCCGATTCGGGTCTCACTAAAGAGACTGGAGCGCGATGTGACTCAGCAGTTTCATCCGTGTGTCTCATCTACCTCCAGTTGAGAAATTAAGTATCACTGTTTGCAGATCATTAGTGGAATGATGTCTCACGGAGCTGCTAACATACTTAGTCTTTAGCATACATTACGATAACTAGGACTGATGCACTTCTGTCCACGGCTTTACAGTTATATTTCTATGTCCATGAAAAAATACCATCAGGCCAGCAAGCACTATATATATATATATTGCAAGGTACGCACTCAATATTTTCTGCTAATTCAGAGTGAAGTACACATACATTATTATCTCCAAAGTAAGCTGTTATTAAAAACTTACTAAATTATCTGGGCGAAATAATACACAGAATACGATAAATTAAAATTTTGATCATTTTTGACACACAAGAACTACATACGGAAAAAGTATGAATGAGTTCTGATGTACACATAACAATGAAAACTGTTGGAGAATAACACGTATCTCAACTGCTCAAATTAACACAGTTCCGTAAATATGCCAAATTATTAGCCTTATTATGCTGAAATCCTCCTTTCCTTTCTATGATTAGACTTCCTGGTGGTTTCCAAGACACCTCTGTTTGGTTGATGGGAAAAAATAGCAATCCTAATACACAGACTGCTAGCAAAAACTGTAATGAAAATAACAAATTGATTGCTGGTGACGCGGGATGTTTAACTTTCCTACCCAAATATATAAACGACTGAACCACTACTGTAGATTCAGTAGCTGTTAAAAGAAACGAGTTTATCACTTTGTCCTGATAACAATAGCTAGTAGTTAAGAGTATTTTTTTACTCAGTTATCTGGAATAGATTTCCCATTTATCCCACACCGTGCGAAAGCTGATGACATTACCCAGTTACCCAAACTGAAGTTGGTAGAGCGAGACTCAAACTCGGCACTGAAAGGTTGGAAACCTAGTGCCTAAGAGTATGAACCGTGAGTTGAACACACAGATGATGAGTTCAGCTCCAAATGAGCGACACGACAGTCTAGTATTTAGATTATTTCGACCTAGCTGGTTGGCAAGCCCTCCTGGTTGATGTGAGTGGTGTACACCTACTCATCTCGACCATCAGCAGTATATGGTTTTATGAGGTTACACCTCTAGAAGATTAAAGAGGTCAATGAAATAGTCAACCTTGAAATACACTTCACACGAACAGTAAACTTAAGCCATGACAATAAACTGTTCTAGTGTACACTACTCTGTTCGCGAACTCAAATTGCTGTTCATTCCTGTCTTACACAAATGACAGTAAAACAATCATTTAAATATCACTCATTTGTGTATGACTATCAAGGAAAAACTCAGACATTGTTTGTTTTTATCACGTTTGTCTTTCATAAACTTAATGCAGTCAAATGACAATAAGAGTTTATTTGGCAACTAATCCAGAAACGGTATACTGAGTGAGTATACTGAGTATTCACATGCAGTGGGCTCTGTTTACGACGTAAGACTTTTGTGCAGAATAAAACAAACTTACCATAAGTGCCATACACACTGTTAAATATCCACTACCTGACCCAACATCTAGGGCATGTGAACCAGGTTGAAGATGATCTTTTAGTATTTCCAAAGCATATGCATGCTAAAGCATAAAAATCAAAAGAAATATGCGATACAGCCTCTAAATACATGAAGGACTACTGAAAAGTAAAAAATTCGCTCAAACATAAACCACAGGAAATTAATGGTCGGTCAAATACAAACCATGGTTCTGACAAATCATCACATGTAGTATGCAGCACTAAGTACTAGAAGGATACATTTTTTACTGATGTAAACCACAAAACAATTTGCCATAACTCCTTGTTCGTTAGTAATCTATGTGCAACACTGACAAAGCAAACAGAAAAACCAGTTCGCCAGAGACCGTTTATCTTGCTTGCACCATCACAACTGCAAAATACTGGTGCAAGGTGGTTGGGAGTTACAAGGAGAAAGTCCTGGATGTAGGTTTCGGACTGTTTGGCCTTCATTAGTGAGGCGTATCTGCAACATCAAAATATGTGATGTTGGCTCAGCTATCCAAACACGCGTAACCCGATTGTGCAGTTCAAAACATTGCCATTAAGCCATTTGTGCTCAAGACTGACCTCTTGTATGACTGCATTCTACTGGCAACTAGCAAGTACATAAAGTCGCGTTGGTGCTAATTGGTCGGCTAATTGGCATGAAACTGCGCAGAAATGCAGTAATTGATATTGTCGGATCCACATGGTACACAATGGCAGAAAAGGTTTAAATGAAATATAACGAATGAAAATTTACAGCAGAAAGAATTATTGTATAGTAAATGATGACAGTTTAAGGTGGTCGACACGCTTATCTATTTCATTCCTTATCATTAGACTGCATCTCGATGCCAGCCGTTTCTGCACCTCATATTGGTCAGGAGGGAATCATGTTGCTGACGAATCCTATCACTCAGTTATGCAACATGTTCACTGAGCTATGTAACCTGCGATTGCGGTGCACTTCGAATTGATGTCAGATTGTTCAGTGCGACTGGTGGAAAGCCACAAACCATTCTTTCTTCCAGAAAACGTATAACGTGCAAACTAGTACTACGATGTCTCCAAAACATGTGATTAACTGGAAACCATTCTGAAACCAACCAGCTATTTACATAGGAATGTGGCGATAAGTATATCTGTTGATGACCAACATTTTGAAGCAAAATAACGAGCTTAAGTCTTGATACACATGACACTTGTTGGGCATAATGATGAAATATCTGGACTTCATTTAAGAAGATCTCAACTGATTCCTGAAAAGTGATCCTCAAATTAACTACGAAGAGACCATATAATATACATTATGAGTCAACTTCAAGCTCCCAAATGCACTTTATATTAATGTTTGTATGAATTCAGGAGAACAGAAGCTTAAAACTTGTTTCAGGGAAACAATATCTCAATAAGACGACCACCAGTAATCAGAAGAATGAACAGATAATCCACGGGGAATAAGTAAGGTTATACAGAATCGAAATAGTAGTTCTTCCTGTTTAGGGTCCGGTATTTCAAAGTAACAGTGTATTAACGCATAATTGTAAACAATATACGTTTACTAATTGTTACGCAAAATATGCTTGCCCGTTATCATAATATTTCTGTAGTTACTCCTGAACTACTTGTGGAACTACGACTACAGTTTGACTGCAACTATATATTTCACCTTGGAAGACTGAAATCTTGATAAATCAGTCTGCCAAAGGATTTCTGACTTCATATGACACCACTATATATGGTCATGTTATAACATCAGCACTCTAAATGTTATGATAAATTCTTCATTAGACGCCTAAATCTCTATCTCAGATCTACAGATGAACTACTCTATGGTCTAGTATCTTTCTGATAGATTTAGGGTAGTTTCTAAGTCACACTAAACTACCAACTTTGGTGAGTACTTACTATACGAGGAGCACTTATTGTTGCACCGTAACCAATTGGCTGCGCCCAGTCTTCATATGCGTTTATAAACGAGAATAACCCACGGTCTACAGACAGCATCGTATCTTTTACACTTTCCGATGTAATAAATCCATTTTCTGCAGCAAAACATTAAACAATATATGCTAGTTACTGCATAGGTTATTTATGAGCTCCTCATGTGCACTGCCACTTGACCGCCAAGCTGTATTTTCGCTACAAATAAGCGAAACAATTGAAATTATCAAGATGAATCCAGCCATATTTCATTTGACAAATACAAGGAACACAAAGAAGTAATTCCACGATCCATCAAAAATCCGCCTTATTATTATTTCGTGTTCAGTATCCAATGCCCTTCACACAATATGCCAAATACCACCTAGTACAAGTAAAATTGATTTCTTTGTGCTAACTTCTTGAATAAAAGACAAAAATCATTGCTAAAATTCTGCATAGTGTGTCCTGCCGCTTGACTGCTGTGGATTCGATAGACTCGAGCGACTTTATTGCATATCCCCTCAATGACGTTTGTCTGTATGTTGCTATTGGTTTCAATTGGCCTTGGTTTCGGGGCGAGATTTAACTGATATAATATTGTGATTTCATAGATATATCTCAGGCTCATACGTGAAAGAGAATTATTATCCTGGAATAAGTACAAGTTGTTTAGAAGGTAAGGAGGACGTTATTTTTCAGTTTATTTGTGTGTATACTATTGTGCACCGAGTTGCATTGAGTTCTTAGTGCAACTGTATGTAACTGCATTTACATAAAATGAAACATTAGGAATGCTCCTGTTTCTAGAAGAAAAACATTATTATTATCATTAAGTTTAGTGATGAAGAATGGAATTTCTTCAACGTCAATGTTATTTAATTGAAGTTGTAATCTGTGTAGGCCCTTAAAGGAATTAATTCGGCATGGAAATCTCCTATATAAACCGAAAGTGCTTTTAGTTTAGTAAATCTTACTGACTTCCTGTATAAATTAGATATTTGTCAAGTGTATATTTCATATCTGCTGGAGTATTCAGTAAAGTAAAAGTTGTGGTGCATGATTCCAAGACTTGTTGTAGTCATTGGTATTGCCAGGATACCACTTACTCGTTTTATGCAGCCGAAATATACAAATCTCGCTTTATTGAGGAAACACTATAATGCCTGCAAAAGTATTGCGTCAGTTAATGAGTTTCATAAATTCTACAGAATGTTTTCTATTCAGTGATTACTGTTTGCGAATTATCCGAGAAAACACATTTCCGATTGGCATGTAACACAAGGCTGAATTCTTAAACTGTCATCCTTATATCATTTCAATACAATCACACATATATCAGTAGGATAGTCTATAAATGACTTTAGAGACTTATTATCATCATCAACTTACAGTTTGCTGATGATACTATACACCTAGACTATGAGAAGTAAACCCTGATACTGGAAGATACGAAAAGAATACCGGTGTTTGATTATAGGTGTCTGTGTTCTATCTGATGATTAAAGCAGTATAATATGGCGATTGCTCTTGAGGTGACGCATAAAGTGTTACGTGAGGAGGGTAAATTAGTCTTCAAAGTAGGGAAGCTGAATAGTTTGAGATAGCTATAACACGTGATGGCATACCACGCCATCGCCTTCCTCGAGGGATAATGTTAGCCAGCACATGTTAAGGTTCAAAATGTGTTTGGGTCGGTTGAATGAAAAGCTGCTATTGGTTCATAAAATCGTTGACAGTCACCTGGAAGAACTACTAGATATGTATCTGCAAGTCTTTGTTTATGGCACAGATGCATTCACTCTGTGTAATCTCAGGTATCTATTCAACTCATGTTGTCACTATTTATTTTCCCTCAAATTTTCGCTCGTTAAACTTCCATTTAGTTTTATGTCTCTACCTTTGTGTGGTGCATGGAATGTGGTAAACTGAACAGTTGGACTTCTTTGCAAAGTCATACTTAAAGTCAGGCAGAATGACACAGGCTAGGCATAACTAAATGCGAAACACTGAATAATGGTCTCCAGAACGTCAACAAATGATAATTGCAGGTCTTAATCTTGTTCTTTGCTAAATTACTCGGAACTGAAAATGGTGCGAACTACTCCACTAGATGTAATACCCTAGGACTAGAAACACTATGGCTAAGACGCCTGAGACTAAACTTAACACTTTACTATCAGCTTCTAAACCACTTAGATTTTACCTCTACTAATGGCACTCGACTTTCAGTTGACAATGGCTACAAATTAAGACACACTAAGGATACAGTAGCTATCGAACAATGCAAAACAGCTACCAGGCAAAAGTTTTACTTGATTAAGTATGCACAGATATGGAATAAACTACCAATGGAAATGCGTCAAGCAAGTACATTGGCCTCCTTCAAAAAGGTACTTAATGACAAACTACAAGAGTTTGCAAACGATAGTAGTTCTGGTTCCCATCTGACAGCCTCCGAAATTATAGGACCATTTAATGTATAAGCTGAAATACTACACCTGTTGTTTTTTGCCTATATTTATAATTCTAGATAAAACATTAACGGTTAAGATACGTATCCTCAAACAGACAAGAAATCTCGTTTGTAAAACTACTACCCAACACAATAAGTGGAATAAAATGGACATAAACCGACAACATGAAAGAGGTATAACTCACCACAACATCACATGGACAGATGTGCGCTCGTTGGGCACCATATATCCGTCACCAACTGCAACCCACCTTTCCTTAGATAATTTAATATTCTCAACTGCTGTTGGAACAAGTGAAATTCATAAACCTTCCTCATGCTAAGAAAATACACACAAGCAGTAGAAATCCATTAATTAATGCGTCTGAAGCGTATGTATTTACTCCCAACAATGACATTGCAGATCAAATGAGATAAACATATCACTGAATTCAAAATAACACATCAATGAAATATAATTCAAGGATTCTGCACACAACAAAGTTATGTATGAAAATTGACTTCAAGCTTTATTTTTTTCCCAAGCACTTATAATCCATCCACCAAAGACCTGGTTTTTTTGTTAATGTGAAGACAATACTTTTGTATTTCCTGATGTGTTGCACTCACTGACGATCTAGCAGATTTTTCCAACTGTGCACAGAAGTGATTGTATATAAGTGAAAAGGCTGTTTTATACTACTGGGATTAACATTTATCAAGTGTATGTAATATCTCCAGCGGACATATAAAGCATATCTTGTCGCAGCGTGTAAATTTTGATTGAATTATATGGCTCTATTTCTGTAACAATTTGATGATGCCTGTAAACTGGCGTCCCTCATGTACTGTACTATGAGAATAAATTTATTTATTTATTCATGTGCGTAAAGAGGGAATATATTATTGTAAGACGCATTTTATTGTTTTATGAGGGACTTGACTTCAAGCTTTATTTATTTTCCTAAGTATCTGTAATCCATCCAACGCATACTTGGTTTTTTTGTTAATGCTAAGTCAATATCTCTACATTTCTTGGTGTGTCCCATTGAATAACCAGTTATCCGATTTTTCCCACAAACTGAAGATAAAATGACAGCAACCATGTTATTTAACCGTATTCCATGTAATTTAAATATGTAACTTAAATAATACTTATCCATGGCTTTACAACTTGTGTGTCCTGCATTTGTAGGAATAATTATGTACCTTATTATATTATCATTAGTGACTATACTTACTGTTCGTATGTGTAATTTATCGAATTGATGATGCCTGTAAATTGGCGTCCCTCATGTACAAAAATGAGAATATATTATTATTATTATCATTAAATAACAAATAAATACCTTTCAGTAACATCTTCATCCACCCGGGATTCTTCTCCTACTTTGCAAGTGTTTTTTGTGCTTTATCACTTTTGTGCTAAGCTTTAAGTTATTCAACATATGCCGTTATTGACTAAGGACCTAGATGATATTAGTTGAGTAAGGTTTCGGTCGTGCAAACACGAGTCCTGTGCAAGTGATTGGTTGCATTATCATTTCCCAAATGGTATACAGCATACTGTATATTAGGGTAAGTCTTCCGCCTTGCTTGCTGAAGGTTGTGTTCCTCAGGGTACTGTCATCTCTCCTTTTCTTTTTTCTCTCTCTTGTCTTACATGACTTTTCTCTTTCTAATGAGAGCAACTTCGTCAAATACGCTGGTGATCTGACCGTCTCACTTCCTATCATGTCACAATGTGTCACCAGGAGGACTTTATTTTTGAGTTTATTTGTATATATACTATTGCGCATCGAGTTGCACTGCGATTCCACATGTAGCAGAAGATTATGAATACCTTGCTCTTCTCTTCTGCATAAGAAAGTTACTTCACAAGAACCGCTATATTTAACTCAGTAAGGAAAAATATGAATTTCTCCACTTCAGTGTTGTGAGTTAATTTGTGAACTGTGTAGGCCCCTAAAGTAATGCATTCGGCGTGCATGCTGAATAGTGAAATCAGGAGTGTGCATGTTGTACTAAATCTTCTGTGCTTTTTGTATGGATTCCATGTTCATGAATTGACCACTTAACAACTGCTGAGTGTTGCATGTGATCCAGCTGAAATTATAACTGATAATTCCAAGAATTTCTGTCGTTTTCATCGGCAGCGGTTCATAGCCTATTGATTTTACACAAGTACAATACCCATTGCTCACTATAATGAGGAGACATTAACCATGATTCCAGAAAAGTAGTACGTCAGTATGTGAATTTCATGAATCTGTAGATTGCATTCCATTCACTTAATACTGAAACTAAACTATGAGGGAACTGATATTTCCAAGAATGATATAATACAAGGCTCATTTCTACAACTGCCGTCCTTATTTTAGTTCACTTTCATCATACATGTATTAACAAAATTGTGTGTCACTCACTTCAGGGACTTACCAGGGAAAAGTTTTGTCAACTTAGTGTATGCTAATGACATTGTCCACCTAGGTTGTGAGAAGTGACCATTGAAACTGGAAGATACGAAAAGACTACTGGTTTTTGATCGCAGTGTCTGTGCCCTTTCCTCTGTGTTAAGTAGTCTAAAATGGTGAGTAATATTGGGGTGAAGCTTAGTGTTAAGTAGAAATGTGACTTCAAACGTTGTTTATAACACAGATGCATTCACTCTGTGTAATCTTACATATCTGAGCAACCATTGTGTTCTTTCCATATCACTGTTCGTTTTCCGTGACATTTATGCTCATTAGAGTTCCATTTGATTTCTTTTTTCTCTACCTTTGTGTGCTACATGGAATGTGATAACGTAAA